GTCGTGGACAGGAAGGTCAGTCGTACCAATGGAGAAAAGGAAGCAGCTTTGGGGCTGATAATCTCAGCAATGAACACTGATAAACTGGAAACCATCTGACGACTCAGTATGAGCAAAAAGAGGAAATTACTGAGAGAAAGGTGGGAGTATTTAGAAATCTAAGAGAACATTACATTTGAAGAACTATATATGCTTTTGATAAGCAGAAACACTGAACCAGAGATAGTGATTTAATAAAGATAGATTCTGATCAAGAACTATGAAGCAGAAGTTATCCTAACTAATGCTAGTGAATTTCAGATACCATCGACTAAGACAGACATAGAAACTGTAAGTCAAACGTGAAGGGCTTGGATAGGTGGTAGCTAATGAAAAAAATTAGGGATTTGTAAAATAATTGGATTAAATAATACCACAAGAGGGAAAAAATTAGGAAATGCTATCTGGATTTGTGCTGCTAGAAGACTTGGAAAAGAATGGAAAAAAAGAATGGAAAAATAGAGAAGAGACATCTGTTTTTCTAACATGAACATACCAAAGAAGGCAGGGGAAAATGGAAAGGAAATTATGGATAAGTTACAGACATGGGAATGTCAACAAGGAGCGTTATGAATGGCATGAGTTGTCAGTACAAAAAAATACTATTAAAAAAAAAGGACATAAAGCAAACAGTAACTACAGTCATGAGAAAAGCAGCGTTTTTAACTGAGACAGAAACAAAATAAAATGGATATAATGGTAAAAAAATGCATACAAACATTTTAATGGCCTTCATTAGGAACACTAAGAAGTTACATTACAATTATTACAAACAGTTAAAAATTCATTTGTTTCATGAATACAGAATAAAAATATTGTGAGATATCAATATAAACTTTCGCATATTCTTTTCAAGAACATTCAAAAATCTAAGGTACAGGCTGTTAGAAGAGTCTTTAGTCAAATTTATTGGTAAAACATATTTTGTAAAGGTTATAATTATTCTATATACTCCTGTTTTGGAGTATCAACACCACAAAAACAACAGCCTTGTAACAGAAATTAATAGAAATAATTGAAACTACTGCCAATATAGAAATCAACTAGAGTCCTACTACACTGTTTTGGTAGTTCTGGCTAGTCCTTATTATCACATTTCAGTGTCTGCTACATAATACGTGGTCACTTCACAAAGTCAGAAGTGCAAACTCCAGTTACCATGGAATCGGCCTTACCTCGTGCAAGTACAGAAGCTTGCTTTGAAAGTTTTGAAAATTTCAGTACAAGTGATTTGAGTCGTCTGCTTGCAGAGGCTGTCCCTCTAGACGATGTCTAAAAGGCACCTATATTTAACAGGCTCAGCATCTATACTAACAAGGCATGTCAGAAGCACAAAGAAGTATTTTACATTTTTACATAAAATTCAGTCAGCAATCTGGTAGTGATGCTAACCTCACCCACCCACCCCCCTGCCTGCCATACTACTATGATACTCAGTTCATTGTACATCTACAAAAAAAATTGAACAGAAAAAATTAACAACTCACAAAAGTGCTATTTTTACAAATACCACTGTTCAGTAAGTACTCCTGCCAAACTGTTCACTTTTAGCTTAATCATTTTAGCACATCAAAGATTAACCTTAATATCTGACAACAATGTAACCAATAAAAAAATTCAGAAGTTAAAGTTTTTGAGTAGTTGGGGAAAAACAGAACTGATCTTTTAATTCAGAAATGCCATCTGATGAGTCAAGTCACCACGTAAACATTACGTACTTTCAGTAGAATTAAAATGCCAGATTGCAAGAAGAATGGACAAGACTAGGAAAACTTAGAAATTACCACTTAAAAACAATTGGATTAATCACTTCTCATCTTTATCATTACTGTGTCAATTATATGTTGAAGATATCAACTTCAAAAAGGTTTGATTAGCTGTTTATTTCTGGAAAGACTTCTGAAAGTTGGTTCTTTAGCTTTTCTGCAATATAAGTCAATCAAGGATAAGGTAAATCTAATCTACATAATTTGTGTATCTGTTTTCAACCACAAGAAAAGGTGACCCACCTTCTGTGGAAGTGGGTAGAGGAAATGCTAAAAAGATGTGCTTTATGTTTACTCTTTCACCTAAGCTTAAGTTCAAAAATTAAATAAATCCCGATTTTCAGTCTGACTGTCATAAACATCAGAGGCCTAAATGTTATGCTTTCAAGTCATTCCAGTTACTCTCTAGTACCAAATTCTGTGTGGAGCTCCTTATGAAATCCCTCTGTGCTCCTCATTAGTTGTGGATGCTGATTAAAAAGCATAGGAAAAATGTAATTTTGTAGTGCTAGGATAAATGAGGAAAAATAACCTACAAACACTTGGGTAACAAACTCGCTTTCCCCTTCAAGAGAGTGAAAGAGCTACCTGGATCAGATGGGATGTTAGTTTTCAACTGAAAGCAGATGTTTTCCAACAGCTACAGATTAACTAGTTTGCTGGTTGGTATGCCATTGCTAAAGAAAGCTGTAGTGTTAAGAGACTTTAAAACAAAACAAAACAGCCACCGTATTTGGCTTAATTTTCACTCAAATCCATAATGACAATTATTTATACTCCAAAAGGCTACCTTGAAGTGTTCCAAGTTTTCAGAGCTGTTGCCAAGAGCTGCTGAATCCTGTGATAACACAAATATGCCCACTACTATTCTATACTGATAATTTGCAAACGTATGGGCAGCCATCAAGGACATCACTTTTGAGGTCTGATGCATGGTAGGGCTTCTGTATGTATGCAGAAAAAGAACATGTGCACCATATTACCCCTCCATCTGCAGGCACTGTTCACATGCAAACTCAGTGCAAGCACAGATTTAGAGTTATTCTGTTTCTATTCCCTTCCAACCCATCCACTTCTGGTGGAAGCTGCAGAGGGCATAAACAATACCACACAACTGCAAAAAAAAAGAAAAGGTATGGCCTTAATGTGCTTCAAAACAATGATACTTATAAAATGTATCAACAAGCATTCCTTTAACAATTTTTTTCTTCAGAATAACAAAGGCAGAAGTCTTCCCCTCTCCTGGGGCAAGGTTGATTAAGTTGCTTGTACAGCAGCTACCAAATTGCTTACAGACAGCACGGCTTTTAAGAAAAGCAGAAAAAACCCAAGCCCTGTTTAGTTTAATATGCCATAAAACATGAGCTGAACAACTGCAATTTATGAGGCTTTAAAAGTCCCATTAGCAGAGATTCTTACCCTAAGAGGAGGGCAGGGACCAGTACAGCCCCCCCATCCACAGTAAACACTGGTATGTTTCCACCCCTGCCTGCAGATGCCCGTTCCTAGAACATACCACAACAGGGAAGGAACTTAAGTCATTCCAGATGATTAATGTAAGCTCTCTGAACACAGCTACCCAGTTTATGGCCTGAAACAATGCTAGAAGTCGCATATAACACTGATATGATCCTCTAACCAGCTATTAAAGTAGCGAGTGCTAGTTACAAGTAAGGAATATGGATTAAAGCATTGGCAGAATGCATATATAGCTAAGAAAAAAAAAAAAAAAACAAACTGTGTATAAATAACACTTTGCAAAACTGGAAAATAACTTTTCTTCCCTTCTCATCCTTCCTCCTCCCAATAAGGTGGGAATGAACTCCATGACTGTGTGCTCCTGATTTCTGCAGTCTCACTTACATCCCCAGTACAAAGCAGGCATACTGTTGGTACTTAGAGTGGAAATAAGACTACTACTACCTAATTACTTTCAGTCCTGCATCCATGTAAGTCAGATCACCAAAATTCATATTAACCCAAGGGAAACTTTTGTTTCTTTCACCACCTCCAGTATGTTTTATGGCAAAAAAAACGTCATAGGAACTAGGTAATTATGAATCTATTTAAACTATTTTGAGGCCAAGATGTTCCACAACTGGTTTCGACCTAAAGAGGATCCCTTAGGTTAGAGAAATATCTCTGGATTCAATCTTGAAGAAGCATTAATAGTGCAATCATCACTTCTAAAAAAAATTCTAAGGAGATTTACTAGAAGAAGACTGTATTGACAGTGTTCCACCCTGTGCACATCAGTATGAAAAGTTGCTTCATTTTCAGGTTTAATGGGAAGACAGTACAATTTCCCTGTAGCCTGGAACTTCTTAGATAATTATTATAGTTATTATCATAGAGGACTAAGAGAAAAGCAATGTATTTCTAATGTGCTTTAGTTACTATACAGGCAGCACAAAGGTGTGGGAGCACCATCCTGAATCACCTTCTGACATTTTTGTTCACTAAACACTACAAAAAGTTTTCTCCGAAGATTAAACTCAATTTTAGAATTAATTTCCTCATCAGTATTCATGATTTTTATTTGCTTTTATTGAAGATGTATGTAATAAAGTTTCATTGGCATTTGCACCAAGAACTGGTTTCTAAGACTAAGCTTCATCTAATGAAGATTAAAGACGTTACGTAGGAGGCCAATATTGTCCATGGTCTTAGAATAATAAAAAAATAATTAAAAAATATCTGAAAGCTATACTTTCTTACAATTAATTTTAAGAGAAAGAGGAAGGGTTTTGAAAAGATATATTCTCTGAGAGTTTTTCACCACTGGACTCCCTTCTCAAGCACAATCTCCCACACTTGAGTAGAAACTATTACTTGTATTTCAGTAATGCCCAATGGTTTGTCAGACAAAGCAAATATGGAAAGAACCATGGAGAATAGCACAAAAAACCTAGCATCAGGTAAGAACAAAAAGCTAAGAGCTGCAGAGTAACCACCAGAACTTTCCAAGAGCACAAAACTGAGACGGTAAAAGTTATAACCTAGAGGAAGACATATCAAGTGTTTCTGGCTATTATACATAATTTATCGTTACTGGAAATCAGAAGCTTACATCAAAAATGAATGCGCACACTTGAAATAAAAATCAAGAACACCGTTGGCTATTAATAAAGACACTGAAAAAAACATCTCCATAGTTTACAGAGAACCAGAAAATGCATAGGCAGTCCCACTCACCTGTCTTCACTAAAACGTCGACCAACCAAAATTTTACATTTGTCTGGAGGGAGACAAGCTGCTAGCAAAGGTACCGTCCTTAACACTCGACTTTCCTGTAAAAAAGAAAAGTTACTTTTGAATAAAATCAAGAAAGCCTTCTACGAATTGTGTTTCCATTTACTTTCAAGTTCTTTTGACAAAGTCCCTTGGGAGGCAGTCAGTCCTGAAGGACAAAGGAGTCCAGGAAGCCTGGGTGTTTTTCAAGAAGGAAGTCTTTAAGGCACAGGAGCCGGCTGTCCCCGTGTGCCAAAAGACAAGCCATCAGGAAAAAAGACCAGCCTGGCTGAACAGGGAGCTAGGGTTGCAACTTTGGGAGAAAAAGAGGATTTATGGCCTTTGGAAGGAAGGGCAGGCCACTCAAGAGGACTACAAATTGGTAGTGAGGCTATGTACGGAAAACATCAGGAGGGCCAAAGTCCAGCTAGAACTAAACCTGGCTTCTGTTGTCAAGGACAACAAAAAAAGTTTCTATAAATATAATAGCAATAAAAAGAGGACCAAGGATAATCTCTGTCCTCTAGCAGACAGGGCTGGTAACATAGTGACCAAGGATGAGGAAAAGGCTGAGGTACTTAATGTCGTCTTTGCCTCAGCCTTCAACAGTAGGACCGGTTGTTCCCTGAGTACCCAGATCCCTGAGCTAGAAGACAGGGAAGGGGAGCAGAATGAAGCCCCTGTAATCCAAGGGGAAATGGTGAGAGACCTGCTTCAGCACCTGGAGGTACACAAATCTATGGGGCTGGATGGGATCCACCTCAGGGTACTGAGGGAGCTGGCAGAAGTGCTCACCAGGCCACTTTGCATCATTTATGAGCAATTCTGGGTAACTGGGGAGGTCCCAGCTGATTGGAGGTTGGCAAATGTGACACCTATCCACAAGAAGGGCCAGAACAAGGATCCAGCGAACTATAGGCCGGTCAGTCTGACCTCAGTAC